ATGCATCGATACAAAACGATTATTATTTACACCCCTAGTAGTCATCATCTTTGGCCTTATCAAGGACTGGTTTGGGTTGTTTTCGAAAAGTTCTTTCCAAATTAAATGGAGATTCTAAGTAAACCTGGTTAGTTCCATCAAGGTTCCTTTAAAATATCGGCTAAACTTACCGATCTTACGTTGATATGCTGACAGACCGGGTTGTTGATAACAGAGAGGAACTCTGTGGTCTGGATAACAGCAGGTCAGAGGTCTGGCAGACTGGCTATTAAGCTACATCGCAGAGTATCACATTAACAAGACTCCAGGCAGGGGGCCAGCTAGCACATCAGGATAAATATGGAAGTGTGGATTTTCCTCCCTCTCTCAGGCCAGCTTTTTCCCCCATCAAACATCAGCTGTAAGGACAATGATATCCCTCACGGAGGTTACAGAGGCATCCTCGCATCCCACACTCCCTCTCTTCTTCTATCACAATCCCCCTCTTTCTGTCCTCATCCCAGTTCCAAATCCTTCCCCTCTTGCTGGATGAGTTTCACAGCCCCTGGTTTGCCACAGAATGATCACTTGAATCCCTCACATTTAACTGACCGAGGTCACTGGAAAACAGGATTCCTCTGCTTTTACGATGAGGGTTTGACTGCTCTAAACAATCCTGACTTCATTACATTTCTTCACAGGTATGAACAGCCAAAATGTGACGGTAATGCCAGAGCCCATCCAAATAAAGCAAAGGACCATTATAAAACCAGACATCTCCAAGGTACGTCTCCATTTACTGGAATCTGTCTCTATTTTTCCCCTCTTTCTTTAGACAACATGGAGTTCATTTTTATTGTTTCAACCATTTAGCCTCAAACTGCTGCCAAACTTCCACTGCTTTGATAACAGTGTGTGTTTGCGTTAGAGCGTGTTGGTGTGAGGATATCATTAGCACTGAAGAAAAAGCTTGATAAGAGTTGAGGATTAGCAGATAGCGGCATTCATTGGTCAATAAGCAGGGAGACAGAGACGGATTGGGAGGGGGATTAATCTTCAACTGACACTGGAGGTGGAGGACAGTGAATGAAAGCAGTGAGGAGGAACAGCAGGGAGGTGAGGTGGAGATAATGCATAATGGGATGCCAGAGACAGGTGGTGATACTATGACTGATAGCGATGCAGATAGCTAAATTAAAAGCAGAAGATTGGTTCCAGGGCATGAAACTACTTTAAGGAATTTTTTGCAGATGTGTCAAGAAGAAATTATTGATTACTGTAGG